ATATATCTCAAATTTACCGTGGCCATCATGTCATCGAATTACCGATACCGGTAAACCGCAGTAAAACCACGATTTGTTAATAACATGCTCTGAACGATATACCACAACATGGTAGCGGTTTCATAAACTCGTTTTGACAAATTTTTACTCCTTGCTAGTTTTTGTGCCCAACGTCATTTCACGATTTTCTATTGAACTGTAATTTCATTGTAATATGAAACGTCCATCGAAAACTATTGTCGTTTCGATTAATGGGCAAGTTTCGATCGGTTTAGTTACTGTTTTTGAAATAATGCACAAGAACTGGAAACGGTTAAATTTGCCGAAGCGAGTTTATGAAACTATTTATCGGTTATGTAAGGTTCAAAGCACGTTATCAACAAATCATTGTGATATCGCGGTTAACCGGTATCGGTGATTAATTTATTCAGAAATACAGGTTTTAATACCAACTTTATAATGAGTATTCCTTTTGCGCGAAGCTTCACATTTGGGGTGTATTTTTATAAAACTTTTTTTTTTTCATTTTTACTCCAAACAGAGGAGTTGTGAAATAGCCCATTTTTTTAAGTTATTGCTGGAAACACAATTTTTTTGAAAGTCTTGAGTGTCTGAAAAGAGTCCGAAGCTTTGAAAATTTATCATTTATGATGAGGTAGAATGCATGCCTACTACGAATAAGGCTTTAGACAAACTGTTGGGTGAACCCTTATTCCAGGGTGGTCCAAACCCAGGCCCGCGGGCCACATGTGGACCACCGCTTCATTATCTGTGGCCCGCGTCGCATTCGGAGAGTAATCAACAAATCTAATTTTATGTTTTTTCGTCATAAAATTAACCAGAAAACTGTTTTGACCTATTGTTACATCACTAATGTCACTGAATTGACTAGTGTTATGGCTAGCTGAGGCAACTAGCGAAGTTGAATGATGTGCTTGGCAGTCTAAATTGTTAACTGTTTTTTTTTTTTTTGGTCGGGAATATATGCTAACAATTTTGGCATCATATAAAACTAAAAATCGAATGCGGATTCTGTTAGCCTAGGTTGGCTTGATAAGGGACAAATACTGACCAATGTGTTCGCACAATGAAAGTGTTTGTTTTGTATCCCACTATTTTTCTATTCTTGGTGCTATTGTGGCCCGCGAACAATGCAAAAATAATTTTGTGGCCAGCGGAACCGACAACCTTGGACCACCCTGCCCTATTCTTATAATACGATCATAGTTAGTTGTTACGGTCTCACTCGGCAATTAGAAATTCCAGACCATTCATCTAAAATACTTCGCCACGCCCCTGGTCCCTGGTCCCACCCTCATATATATATATATATACGATTTTTTGGTCAATTTCAATCGCCTGGCGTCAGGACAAGTATGATATAAACCGTTTTTATATTTTTTTTTAATTTTGCGCTATATTTCTTAATGGTTTCAGTACCTATTGTTACTTCAGCGTTAGCCTGTAACTTTGTTCATAATTCAGTACTCTTCATTTCTAAGAGAGACTTTGCTTTGAAAAAATTCCTTGAAATTTTGAAAATTGGAATATGGTATTGATAATGTAAATTATTTCTCGCAGGAGTTTCGTAAATTAAAAACCTGTAATACTTCTAATACTAAAGAATGTAAATGTGTTACGTCGAGGTTCCTAGAATTTAATTATGTAAAATTTCGTCATGCGGCGCCAACATACTTGAACCCGTAATGCTAACCACTGCGCTATGGGTTCTGAAAGAGCTTCTTGGGAAAAACCTCCGCGAGCTATTCGTTTACCTCTCAAAATACTGAATTGGCTAATTTTGTAACTTTCAAAAGAAGCATTAAATACATCTGGATCATTAAAAAAAGTAATTTTAAATCATTCAGGAACATCAATAGATTTGTGTTTCCTTTTTATAAATTTACTGTGAAACTTCGTAAATAATATCCAATCTCTTCACGAGCTCCATAACACCAAAATTTTGAGGATCCCTGTACTACACCACCGCGCTACTGAGAAATCAATCGAAACTGTAATTCTATACAGTTCTTTCGACACGTCCGCAGTTTCGAAACTTCGCCCTGTATGTCGATTGGATTATTGTTATTTTCGGAAATGATTCATGGGGATTTAAGGAAGCAGTTTCATTGGTATTTTATCAAAATCAATGGTATTTAATTGAGATTCTGATAAGCGAATTTAGTACTATCCTGAATTCGCCCAACCACTAAACGTTCAATATCAATTCTGGTTCGATTTATCTAAGATCAGCGGTTTCCAAGAAGGGGCCCGTGCCCCCCTCCCCCTCTCAAAGGGCCACAGACAAATCGGAGTGCGCCACAATGCAAGGCGCAAAACTGATTTCAATCTTCACTAAAAATAAGACGGAATTCGCGGACAAATAGATGACATGCATGACATTTGTAACATTAATTTTAATTCGGTTTGTTTCAAGACGGGTTATATTATCGACCACATACTGAGTTATCCTGGCATAAGATAATTATATCGAAGAAAAAACGTCAGAAAATTAGAGATGTGACATTAACCTACTAGTACTGGATTATTCACTCACATTTATGGCTGAAAAGTACCGCAAATTCTCTGAAAGCAAATGCCCCAGTTGCAATAAAGAAACATAGACGAATATAAATTTCAATTTAGACAAGTTTCATAACTTAATGTTGAGTTATAAATCCTACATAATGTTACAAATGCCATGTATGTCGTCTTTCTATTTGCCCACGCCTTCAATTCATTTATTTTTATTCGATTTCTTTTAAATCGGGTCCCATTATCGCCTACATACGAATTTATTCTAATTTAACGTAAAAAAACTTGTCGGAACGCTGCGGACGGCATTACGATATCATCATGAATGCAATGAGAAAACATAGGCGAATAAGAATTTCAATTTATACAAGTTTCATAGCTTAATGTTGGGTTATAAATCCTCTTCAATGTTACAAATGTCATGTATGTCAAGTTTCTATTTGCTCACGAATTTCATCTATTTCTTTCGGCATCTCTTTAATTTCGAAAATTTGTGCGGCCCTGAATGTCGATAAAATTAATAACGAAATTGACTCATTGAATTTAATTAAGGATATTTTGACAATTACTCGAATGTCAAAGCTAATGGTGGGCCGGGCTACTAATACTCAGATCCAAGATTCATAGTAAAGGAATGCTGTGCCATCTTATTATTAACCAAACACAAATTTTATGACTGCTTTTCTTTCATTCAATTTATTTTGGCTTAGGTTATTGTCCGCATTTTACTCACTCAAAAACTGTAAACCGGCTCAAAAAAGACTCAAAGATAAATTCGATGAAAATCTGAAAGTTTATTGCCATGTTAATGTTACTAAGTTCATGTATGTCAACTTTCTATTTGCCACGAATTCACCTGTTTGTTTACTTACATTCGACACGTTTTCCTCATTATGGACATATCTGGAGTTTCGAAACTATGTATCGACCCTGTTCGTCGATGGAATTAATGATTGAAATGATTCATTGGGAATTAAGGGTATTTCTACTATTACCCGAATATCATAGCTATTGGTGTGTACGGCTAGCAAGTACCCAGATCCAAGACTTGTCCCATGAACAAGCCTGCCTATCAGCATTGGATAAATTATCGGTTATTATCTAGTATTACCGGGTTATTACTAGGGATTCAGATTCAGATTTTATTTTCGTCATGCAAAACCAATATACGATATGAAAAAATAAACAAAAGGCATATAACAATTTACGAAGACGGATATCGGCTTGTTGCAATAGACAAGGGATCGCGAATACGAGTCATCCAGTCAGCGACACCTTGTAGCTGCATTGAAGCAGCAAATATAGCAACCGAACAACTCAATAATAAATAGTCACTAAATTTGACACAATCATATATATATAAAAGGGACAACAAAAGAATGCTGAGCATTTTTAAATACCTGATGATTTCAGAATCGAATCAAATAATTTTTTTCGAATCGAGTCGAATCTTGAATACTTTGTAAAATTGTGTGTAACTTTCTTATTATTTTAGGTCCTCCAGACACATAAATTACTGAAAACATAGAATACATCACTGACAATAATAAAAAAAAAACGTTTTCATCAACAACTCACTACAGAAAAGAGTCACATGTCAGAATTGTGTTGAAAAAATATGACTTCAATGAAAACTAATTAAGAAATTTACCTCGACCATTGGCGGAAAGAGTAAAACAAGATAGCGGCGATTCGAAAAATTGATTTAAACCGATTCGAATAATTTACTATTCGATTTGATTTGAATATTCGATTCGAAATGCCCAGCTCTAGTTATTACTGGGGTATTCAGGATCTTTTGTACAAAGCCCCAGCCAACGCTTAAAATAAGAAATTATATAATTATCCAGTGAGGGTTGGGAATACAGATTGCGCTGGTAATTCAAATTTTCAAACTATTCCTAAGCAAACTGAATAATTACTAATTTGGGATCCCCCCCCCCCCAAATTCCACATTTTTGCATTAGTGGCGGGGGCTTTCTACAAAAGATCCGGTGTTTAAGAATATTAGGAGAGGAGTACCACGACTTTCCCGAAACAAATTCTGCGTTAGCAATAAAGAAGCATGCGTAATTATAAATTTCAATTTAGTCTAGATTCATAAGCTCACGTTTAATTAAGTCAAATAGAAACACAAAAATACATATTACACACCAAAAAAAAATTGTATGTAAATAGTCACTTTCTATTACCCCACGAATTTGTTTAAATTTGAAAATATTTCCTTTTTTTTTGAATATTACGTTTAATTTACGTGTGACAGACGCAATAGGACTACAACCTCCCCCGAAATTAAATCAGATTTGAACGAGATTTGAAAGTTATTGCACGATGATACACATTGTCACTGCACGGTCGATTTTGACTCATGCGGCGCATGTAAACGCTAAATATAACTAGCCTACGCATATAGAAAAAATGATGGATGGAATGGAAATATTTTTGTACGTTCAGAGATATATAAACGCAACCATCAGCTAAGTTTTCAGTCTTCAATGAATATATTAAGTCTGAAAAGGAATTTAAAAAACTTGAAATATTTTAGCAAAAACATCGGTAATTTTAACTCTAAACGCCGAGTATAAAGTGTCAAATTTGGGCCAAATTTTCTTCTACTACCGAAGCTCGAAAAAATATGTCGCCTTTATTACAATTGATTCTTGTCTGTCTTTGGAGTTGTTTACTTTCGACCGCCAACGGGTTTAGTTACATGTACTTTCAAACCAATATTTGTTCTGGAACCGCTGTGGATGGATATCAGTGCAAAGTCGAAGGTAGGAAATTTATATATACAGTGCTCAATATATGTTAACGAGGTTTGTTGTTTCGTAATCAGTAATTCTTCAAGTATTTTTACTTCATTCCATACATCTGTGGGGGCCAAAACAATATATGGTATCGATATATTCCCTTTGCAATTTCAAAAAAATTTAAGAGTTTATGGACACTCTATACTTTAAATAGATATTAGTGACATTTGGTAGTAATATGGACACCGTATTAGCTTGAGATTTGAATAGCGATAGGCCGGCGTCGCATCATTGCTGCAAAAAATGCGATAGTTCAAGTGGAATTTTTGGCGCTACAGAAGTGTGTGTACCAATATGGAGGTAATTAGTTTTGTTCCCTTACTTTACATCAAGTTGTGTAAAGGGCTGAAACCTATGGGCAGGGGGTATATTTACTTGGCTAACACAGACAGTCCCCGAACTCGTAATAGAACTAAAATAAGAAAAATGTGAATAAAAAACATTTCTATTATATGCCAACGATACTTCATAATGCGCGTATACTTCGGACAAAGCTCTGTACTGTCACTCAATGATACTCGTGGAGTTATTATTTTCAAAATCCCGGGAGCATTCAGGTTTGATAACGTACACTTGGTTTACTCGGCACTGAGCACTGAGGGGTGGGGGATGTTACGTTGGTGATAATGAGATTTGAGCATCGGATATGTCTGTATCAACCCCGTGTAATTTTTATATCATTATTATTTAACGATGAACATGTTTCTATACAGTAGTTACAATGTGACCACTATTTCCATTTTGACATCGTCTACTCAGTTAACTAGCCACTGAGGAGAAGGGGTATGTTGGTACTAATGAAATTTGAGCTTTAAGCATCAGATCTCAAATGACGCCGACATCCGTCGAGCCAAATAACACCTCTATCTGCCAGTATCAATCCAGTGTTTTTAGTAGTTCATTAATATTATTATTTAACCCCTTACATGGCTCTGTATTTGGTACTTCCGTAGCATGTGTACCCGGTTACGGTTAGGCCATAAGTTTATCCGTTTTTTTTAGTTCTATTACGAGTTCGGGGACTGTATGTGTTAGCCAAGTGAATATACCCCATGTCCATAGGTTTCAATCCCTTTACACAAGTAGGCAAACAAAATTATTTACATGGTACACACACTTCTGGAGCGCCAGGAAAACTGACAAAGTGCTTTACGTGTTTTATTATTATTTTACTATGAATAAGGCTCTGTATTGTATCCCTTGTGCGATGCTACTATTTTGAAAAGAAACGGAAACTTTTGCATTAGTATTGTCTACATGTTTACTTTACCCTTAGCAAGTACGTCAATTTGATTGATATCTTCAATATCGCGAATTGTCCCCGCTATGACGTCCCAAGATCATTTTTGATAAATCATTGCAAAGAATTAAATATATCTCTCGTAAATATTATCAATTTGTCAACAAATCTCAGAATTATATATTTTGTTATGAAATACGTCTTTATAATGGGCAGAAGCATTTGAACACTTAACGGATAATATCATAGTCCTGGTGCAACTACGACTGTTATAAGCACTATTAAAAAAAATAATAATAATAACCAATGTTTTCAAATACATTCCTTCTAATTTTGCGTGATGAAGTACCACATGCTTATCCATGACCAATCTTGCCATTTTTAAACTCTACTAACTATAATCAAATCGTTTGCAAAACAGACGCAACCGCGCGTCATATTTCGTCTGTTTTGCTGATGATTTTAGTCAGATAAGAAAACAATAAAATATAGACGACACATGTGAGATTACGCAGCGAAGTATATATTCACGATTTGTCTAAAGAAGTAAGAACGTTGTTTGAGTTTAAACATGTTTTGTGTTTTGACACGATTTACTATCAACACGGGCTGGTAGTAAATAATAATATCTGATTTACTATGAATATCCGATAAAATTTATTAAAATTAATGTGAAAAAAGATAATTTGCCCTGAATTAAGTTCATTTACTGTAAATAGCCGTAGATGTTTCAGTAAAATACGATAAATACTGTAAAAAAGTGGTGACGTGTTGTAAATCATAGTCATTTATGGTAAATGTCTCAGCAAAACAGTGGAATTAATCTTGGAATTGTGTAAAATATGTAGGCCCGACTCGTACGAATTTTAGCAAAGCCATCTGACAAAAGGGGAAAATGAATACACATTTCAGTGAAGTTTCATATTTCCATGTTTTGGAAGTATTAACCTTGAAAATCGCATGATTAGACATTTCCGATAGGAATTTTCTAGTCCCCAATGCGTAAAGTTTTAATTGGTTTTATGTGTGTACATATTTATGTTACTTTTTCCGGTAAGCCAGTCATTTTCAATAAGTTTTCCCCGAGAACTCTGTCCAACCAAAACGCTCATGCGCCATTAAAGGCGGATAATCCGTAAAGTCACGGATTATTTGGATCCGGAAAAACTACGGAAAATCCAAAGTTCCTGTATTCAAACTAACAATGCTTTTTAGCATATGACGACAACTAAACCGAAACATAGTATAACAATGAATAAACCTTTATGACGCACTTTACTCTTTTATGACGTTGGTGATATTGTGTGACATCATAATAAATTTAAAATGCAAGCGAAAATAGCACGTATACATATGCAAAACACATTTTTCGCACATACGCCTGGTTTTGGACCACAAACTTAAGTAACTGCGTCATATGCCAAGGATTAAATTTTGAATATCCTATATATAGAATCTATCTAAAGAGGCAAAGAATGTGGAAATTATTCGTTTTCTAAACGCGTTTCAAATAGGATTTTTTGAGTTGGTAAATAGTGTATACTCATCTTACGATGTTATCTACGTATGTGCATATACATATAAATTGCCCCGTAATGATAATATATATATATGTTGGCAATTATTCAAGTTTAATTAAGACAGGATGTATCCATTACCGTGTTTCACCGAAAATAATACCTAGCATGAAATTTAAAAACGATTTTAATATAAGCCCCCCCCCCCCCCAAAAAAAAAAATAAGGCCTAGTCTAGTGAATAGCGCAAATTTTTTTTTTTGACTTAGTCGATATCAAGAAATCTCTCTTACGCGTTTTAAATGAATAATCTAAAACGTGTGAAAGAGTAAAGGGTGATTTTGTATTTGATAAATGAAATTAAAAGACATTCCCTTAAAAAAGAAGTGTTATTTTTCGGAAAAAAATTGAAATAAGATCCTGTCTTATTTTCGGGAAAACAGAAGGGAAATCTTCTGATAAATATTGAATGAAATAAAGAACGAAGTGCATAAAGTACGGTCACGACATTCCTCTGCCGTCAAATAAAAATACAACATCACACACAAAAAAAGGGCAATGTAAAAAAGATGGACAAAAAGACCAGATAATCGGGCGAAATTTAAGGAATGGCGACATGTTATGTTTTACTACGTAAGGTCGGCCGGTACCTTGCTCATTGATGAGTGTTCGTTACTTCTATTCGAGTGCGTGTGACCTTACTTTAAGGTCATTCAAAACAACTTTCGATTTGTGAATGAAAATATTTTCGGTTGAAGTTTGGAAAAGAAAGCAGTTCATGCTTTCTAATAGGAAGCAGAACATCCGGGAACTCATGCTTTGCATATATCAAGGGACTTTCCAGTCATTGTATTGTTCGTTTTCTCTTTCTGAAACCCATTGTGATGAAATAGAGGTTTCGAACGAGTTTGACCTCCAAGTTTGGCAGTAAAATAATATGACTGTTATTCTGATAGTTAAATAAATGTTTTTTTCTGGCAATTTTCTCGATTTTTTACATTTTGGAAATATATGTTACCTAAGGAAGAGTTGAAAAATAGGAATAATGTAATCGTAACGGAAATGTAAATAGAAAATAATTTTTCTGTTGTGTTAGAAAGTTGAAAACATATATTTTTTGAAAAGCAAGCTTATTTGTTAAATTTAGCGAAAAGAAACATAAAACAGGCGATTTGTTTCAAACTTTTTTACGAAAATAACACGAAACAGTGACTCGGCAAAACATAAAATTTCGTTTCCAGTCGTGAATATCCATCAGAAACCATATGGATAGATTTTCAGTTTGTGTCACAATAAAATAAACTAACGATTTTGGTATGCCTCATTCGCAATTAAGAAATAACGCATGAAGCGTTTCTTGATTTCTCGTGGATAGGCATAACATGCTCTTCGTAATTGGACACGAAATAGACCTATGGATCGTTTTGTTAATATGTTGATGATATTCTTTCCTTTTTCCTGTTGTGATGAAATCGCCTTTCTTTTTAATTGTTGGACCAATTGATTTGAAATTTTTCAGCGGTTGACTATGGTATTTTTCGCTAGAAGTTTTATTTTTAATTTTGTGGGCTTTATGGTTCGTTTTTTGCGTGCGATGATGTTATAAAAATTGCGCATCTTGTGGCGGTTACGTTTGCATTAGTCGTGAAGTTTGCGGTACGTTTCGGATTCGTGTCAAGATATTTGAGCACCGCTCTCTTGTGTGTAGTATATTTATTAAATAGATTCCGGATTTTCAAAAATTGTAGCTCTTTCCACAACAATTATTGCTTGAACAGGCCTTGTTTGAAGAAAAAGGCGCGTAAAAGCGTCGCATATAATTAACTATACGAAAGCATCATAATGTATTTGCAAAATATCAAATGTATAAGCTTTCATTATATCCTAAATCATTTTTTCGGAAATATAAGTTATTAAAGTAAGTAATGCAGTTATATTTTTTAACATAGCAAACTTACGCTAATTAGCAAATCAACGGATTTTCGAATAATCGTAACCGCAAAAAAATTGACTTTATATTCTGTTATATTGGGCAACGAAGCGTCATTTAAACACATTTTATTTTTTGAAAATTTCTGAAACTAAAAACCACGTGACCGCATTTTAGCCGTGGGTGTTATGCGAAGACTCGTGTAGTTTGTGTTTTGCTATCTGAATGACTTATTGTAGTAAACAAGAGCAAAGTATTTGGATTTCCCACATACAGTCGTTTTCGACATGAAACTCGATCAAAAGATCCCGAATTAAAAATTTGTAACCGTGTCGATTTTTAATTAATTTTCATCCCAATTGTTCAAATCAAGGTCCCGAGTCATCAACTAAAGATATAAAAAAACGCAATAGCACGTAACATCTAAGAAAATTCAAAATATTGTCTAGCTTTGACGTTTTGACGGAATTGTTCTATGTATAGTTTCGCGCTTTCACTGAATAGTGGGATTATGCGTGCCTAAATGTCTATTGACTAGTGACCCGGGGCAGTTGCTGAGATTATACCCAGGTTGAGAAGAAATCATTTTCGGCCGCAAATTTCTGCAACAAAAAACTTCGTTGATTCGATTATATCTGTATTGCTATGCCATTGGAAAAATTGAAAACGCGACGGCCATTTTTTTCTCACTCGGCATTGCCGTATTATTTTTAAACAAAAACCGCTAAAGGCGTAATGGAGGCGTGTTTTGCGTAGTGCGTGGGAAACGTGACCCTTCTAGAAACCAAAGGACGTTTTATGATTATATTTGTATGCTGTTGTATTGGGGAATCGAAAACACGATGCAAGCAATTTTTTGTAACTCAGCACCGCCGTATTATTTTTAAACAAAAACCGCTAAAGGCGTAATGGAGGCGTGTTTTGCGTAGTGCGTGGGAAACGTGACCCTTCTAGAAACCGAAGGACGTTTTATGAGTCACCAGTAAAAAATATTGTGTTAGCGAAAACTGATCGAAAATGAAGGACGACGTGTCTGACAGAACGAAACTCGTGAAGAGTTCGTTTGAAAACACCTTGGAAATGTATAAAAAGTTGTAAAATTCACTCCCATTCCATGATTATTCTAACTAGCGACAATGATAACGTACGTTTCGCAACTGACTACAATTTCTTGGCAACTACAAAATAATTAAATTCACCCCCAAAAGGGTAACTTGACATTTGACCCGTCCCCCAAACCCCCAAATACTTATTCTGCCCAATTCTAATACTTTATTCATAAATCAGATTGATAATTGCATTCGTACAATTCTAACTTTTATGAAAGGGGTAATTGAGTTTTGGTAATTCGATTAAGGGGTAACGATATTAAAAGGTTTGAAAACCGTTACCCTACGTATCCGTCTCTGGTTGTACAGTGCCTTATTTTGAATGACGGCGTAAAACGTCATGTCAGAATATTATGCCTATCCATATACAATAAGGTTATAGAAACTAATATATTTTATTTCTTAACAGAATGTCCGTTACCAAATTTCCTATATGGTGGTGTCGCAACTGACGTCATATCCCATACACCTAAAGTGACGCAACCAGCAAAACTAAATGACGTCATCGTGACGTGGTTCCTGAATAGTGATGGGAATCCCGGTCTTAACATCACAGTTAAAGCAACGTCACCAGGTAAGTTTTGAACGTCAGAATAAAATAACTGGCTGCAGCGACATTATTCAAAAAGATTCGGGATTACTTTTATCAAATTTATCAGATAATACGATATTATTTTCATATTTACTCCGAAGGAGCAAAAAGCCGGTTAGACGGCTTTATTAAATGACGAACCACGGCCGATTACCGGTTCATGTCAGGTATGGGACTAGTTAGCTAGGTATTTATTTCAGATGCCTGGACTTGATCGCGGTGTAGGCCGTTGCCGGCTATCTACCGGGCTCGTGTAGTTTATAGAGTACTTATAGTGGGCATGTTATTCCTAACCCCCACCTGAAAAGAGCGTAGTCAGCCCAGAGGGACGGGGGGGTAATTTTTTTTGTATGATGATGTAATACGACGCTCGCTCGTGCCTTTTACTACGATCAAAGTCGGACAGAAGTTGCCACATATTTCAAACAATATCTTAAAGAAAATTAGACCTCCCACCTTCACTTAACTACGCCTATGCATACTGACATAATGTACCGTCGTGAATCTGGTATTATATTTAAAGATTTGGCGCTCCCGATGTATTGAACCCCAACCTGGTACACATACTATGTTTAGGTTGTGCGCCATATTGGTGCACATACTTCGGGAGGTTCAAAGATTTCGGCCTGAGTAGCGTATTTTAACAAGTATTAGAATTTACTAAAACAATCTATAGGTTCATATTCTATTCAATAACATCAATTCATATTATTTCCAGATTCTCCTCAGCAATACGAAGTGAACGTTATGGCAGACAGCTACCCGACTCCTATCTACTGCGGAAAGATACAAACACCGGAACCAGCTATAGGATTTACACCGGTTAGATTATACTTAATTTAATATTTATTTCCGCAGGAATATATATTCTATTTTCAATCCCATTTCCGCATCCTTCACTACCAACCAACTCCGTAAAAGTTGTAAATTCGTATTCCATGTATTTAAAAATTCAAGTTCTTACACTACATTTCTCATACAGCTCCATTCCCTTTACAGGAAAAACAAGAACTTGGTTTAGAGATGCGATGCGATGGCGAGAGATTGAAAGCAAACATGGGAATTCAGCTCGCCGTCCAGGTGCAAGGGGATCCAGTGATGAAAGAAACTCCATATTCGATATCTTTCCGAATTCCAAGCTGTGACGATAAAATAATGCACGACTCGAATGAATGCATAGGTGAGATAATTAAATTAGATAGTTGATTAGTTAGTCTACATATTTTTTAATGGCCGCCATTTCTTTAAACGAGCAAAATAAAAACAAGATAACGATCGGAGACCGCCGACTTATCGATCCAGAGGTGTATATCCTTTGCTCAATAGCGACACCGCGTGTATCATCACTAATTAATTAATACCTACCTATCGACATACTTACCGATTAAAATCGATAAGTAATAACGTTATATGATTGAAAAGATGTGTTCAGAGCAGCAGCCGCACACTTATCATTAGATAAACAAGTGTAAATGTTATGACGTTATGTTGTTTTGTTGATATTGCCTTTATTCTTCAGTCCTACATGTTGACAAACATTGAAAAGCATAAAATACACACTAGCGATCACAAAATTGAGTCGTATTTGAAGGTGCCAATTTTTTTCGTACAAGTGAGCTGTACAAAGAGTTTTTCTCCTGATAATTTGACGCCGCACAAGTTTGAAAACCACAGCATTAAGAAAATTCCGGGTTACATGAAATTATCATTCATTTATTTTTACAGCTGAACGAAAGAAAAAAATTCAATTTAATATCAAACAGAAGCGAAATTCTACGGTCGTGATACTGGCTATTAAAACTGCGTATCTGAAACAAGACTCAAGTTCAAATGTCTACGTGACGATTAGAGAGCAAGACGATAACATAGTTGATGGATGGAAGACACTGGGTGCTCCGACCATGCTAACTTGGGTGAGTGGGATTCAAATAATTTTTCTGAGTGTGCCAGATAATCATAATAGACTTGGTTACTGGTTCGGAGGTTCAAAACTCAATATGAAAAACTATTAATAGAAAACAGTTTAATTACAACAGCTAGACTAACAGCTAAGCTAACGTTTAAATGTACAGGGTGTCCGAAAGGTTTCGCCCGATTATAAAGTCTTTATAATCAAATGTTGTTGTTATTTTAATTTTAAAAAAGATTTAAAGTCAACCTGTTTCTAATTGGATGTTATAGCTATTGAATGTTGTAGTACTCATTTATCATACAACCAAATTTATTCAAATTTACAATTGGCAATGCTATGAAATGTGACACAAGTGAGCCGGATGGAACAATTCGATGGGCCGTATCCAGTGGTGGGATTCAAATTTTTTGTCAACAGGTTTCATCACAAAAGTCAGCCGGTTCTGTTACAAACACAACATTGGCAGTAACCAGTAATGCTAACCGGTTCGCTGATTTCATAAAATTCCGTTAGGCGGTTCTATAGAACCGATGCGAACCGGCTGAATCCCACGACTGACCGGGTCCGGCCCGCAATTATCCCATCCCTAGTTTATAGTCGTACAATAACTGTTGACACATCTTTAAATATCTACTCGAAAATGACTTTAAATATGGGCATGCTTGAAGTCAGCTGGGCCCGGGAAAGAACTCTATCAGCTTAACGCGTTGATAAGATGTTATACAGTTCCTGTCCGCGATCTAATGCCAACATTCTCCCAACCCTTAACCCCCTGATTGGTAATTATTACGGTAATAAACTGGGAACTCGGGGAAACGTCCATACAAAAATAGGTGCTGTGGAGCTGAGGTTTCGGGTTGTTTGCTGACAATAGAATCAAGAGAAACTAACTCGGTCGGCTATTACGGCTTTTTTCGATTTTGACAATTATGTAGTTCAGTACAGACGATCCTGTTGAATGTCTATTTTAGGTCGATAACCAATTCAAAACATATTAATATTTCTATTTCTCCTACAACAGCCACAACGGATAACCGTATTCAACAACCTAGCGATGGGGAAAACCTACCAGATAGTCGTCTGGAGGTCAGGAGAATTCAACCGTTTCGCCAAAGTTATAACAATGAAGATCGACCAAAAAAACCCGAGATTCGACGATTATAAGAATGTACAAAGACTGCAAAAGAGACGAGCCAGACTCGCTAGAAGGATAAGTCAATATGAGGGTGTAAACTAATATGAAAAACTGTTATTAGGGATGTCATATATTCGAATAGTTCGGATTTCTAAAAATATTTTTATGCAATTTATATTCGTTTTATCGTTCGAATTCTGAAAGAAAATCTAAAAAAAACTATTAATACCGAAATTTATATAACTGACAAGACAGAATAGTTTGAATAATTTGGAATTCTAATATTTCTATGTAATTTATATTCGTTTAAATGCCCGAATTTTTATTTCGAATCTTATAGAGCCGTTTCGAACCGAATTTCATAGAACCAATTGCGACCGAATTTCATACGATTGCTTTGACTCGTACTTTATGGAACCAAGTTTTAAAGAGCTGTTTCGAATCAAATTGTATAGAATTTTTAAGAACTAAATGCTCTCTAACTCGAATAGACATCCCTGACCACAACTTTGAGAATTCTATAACACAGAGGCTGACATTAGGCCTCTTTACCAGACCTACCTTGCATTGTCGATCGATATCAAACTGAACACTAGAGACGTAGCAATGAGGCTTATTTGAAATGTAAATAAAATCACTTTTCTGTATCAAGCATAACAATTTTTTTGCTGTTACGATTTATTTTGGCAATTAGAGTTTCCAGATTCCCCCTCCTTCGAAAATTTCTGGCTACATCATGTTTTATCATAAATATATCTCTCTATATACAGAATCTTGTACAACCCCAAAGTTTCGATAACAATCGGCATTGCAAGTTAGGCCTAATGTATTGAATATTTAAATATTATGATTACAAAAGCAATGGCTGCCATGACCGAGTGTAAATCGAATCATCATTGTTTTTATATCGCTGGGCGATATTTTTTCATTTTATTCCCAATACTATTTTTTAATGAAATTTTAATTTTTTGTGCATCTGTTATTGTACCTTTATTATCATGCCCGATCACCGGCCTTCAAGTGTCAACAACGTCGCGTTGTACGAATGATTACGTCACTTTCAGTGTTCCTTATCCAATAGTTATTCCTGGCTCATTTATATCTAACATACGTTGCAATCATGACGTCGGTTTTTGTATTATGATGACACAATTTTTAATATTTTTTCTAGTGCAATTCCCCTTCATATTATAATCCTGTATCCGTAGATCTACGTGTTTTGCAATATATTCTTTTGACGAAGCATGAGTTCACATGCAGTGTGACCCGAGAAAATAACGGAAAAATTTACATAACCCACGTTTTTGGGAACATATTCTAGACCTGGCATGGGCAAACCACGGCCTGCGGACCAAATCCGGCCCGCTGGGTAATCCAATTTGGCCCGGCTGATGCTGCTACAACCAAACTAAAACCAAATTTTGATATTTAAGCTGAAAAATAGCTCAAGAAATTTGTTGAGATTATAATTAAATTAAGTTTTGACACGAGGCTTATTGTTTTCACCTTTGCATTTGTAACACTGTAAATACTGTCCTTAAAATAGAACTTTAGACGTCACACTTACATCGCCCGACAGTCTAGGTGTGCAAAATTTTAACCTCTGGTCCTAAATCTTTGCCGACCCCTGTCTAGCCAATTTTTTTTTAGGACGACCCCAAAGACAACTGTCAAGTGTCCGGTGCGACCCCAGGTCAATATATATTATGGAACTTTAGACCTTCTTTCACTAGACTTTCAAGTTAGTCATGTGGTGGTATTAAGTAAAATAAGCTGAAACCCAACCCAATAAGCACTTACATTTTCTGTAGCATAAAAATGACCTGTTCGCGACCCTACCCACTCATCACTCCGACCCAATTTGGGGTCGCGACTACTAATTTGGGGACCCCTGGTCTGGACAGTACATAACTTTTATGAAACTTCTGGGTACAATAATATACAAATAGAAGTTCAAGTGTTACATAAATTTTCCACATTTTCAAAGAAGTAATTATGGAAATTGTGGGTTCTGTTTTTGGGGTCACACTTTATCTCCAATCTAAGATATCTGGCCCAGCCGACTACTCTGTAATATATTATATTGCACAGCCTATACAAACAGTTTCGTTTTTTTGTCCCGATACTCAATTTAGTCTAGGGTGGCCCGAGGCTGTCCGCATCTGGGCCCCCAGAATTATTTCTGTATTGTTCGCTGACCATACTGATATTTTTTAGCGTGTTCCGTAAAACCGTGTTATATTCTTATGACGCAGGCAGAAATAGCAGTCAGTCTTTGTGCCTAACTCGATTAAATATCTTCCAAATATTCGGGATTCTATTCGAAAAAATATTCGATTCTGAAATGATCAAGTATTCGAAAATGCCCTGTGGCCATGCCCCCATCATCGTTTCGCCCTAAAGATACTGAATGACACTGCATAGAACTTTTTCACGTGCACCATAGTGTTTTATCATTAATTACGCAGAGATATATTATATTTTACTATTACAGTATTAATTAATAAACTTCATCTTATCGTGCAGAATTCCTTGTTATTGAAAATTTTTTTACATGTTCAGTTTAAGTATTTTTGGAGAAGAGACTAACAAGGTTACGACTTACATATTTATCTCGGAGAGGGAAGGCAATAAGAGGGCTCACCATATAACGAACCACGGCACCTCGTCCGCTTATCAGTCCATGTCGGGTATGGGATTAGTTAGGCATTTGCTTTTTCGGAAGCATGGACTTGACGGTGGAGGAAGTCGTACCGACCAGCGGTTACGTGGACCAAACTACGGCGGCGAAGAGTTCAACAGTCTTTTCGCACATAATTATTTCCCCTGTGATTCGGGAACCCCCGTAGGTAGGGCTGGGCATTTCGAATCGAATAGTAAATAATTCGAATCGGTTCAAAGCCAAATCTCGAATCGCCGCCATCTTGTTTTTTCTTTCCGACAATAGTCGAGGTGAATTTCTCAATTTTTTTTATTAAAGCCATTTTTTTCAACGCAATTGTGTCTGTAGTGAGTTATTGACGAAAACGTGTTTTTTATTGTGTTTGAACGCTCAGTAATCTGCCTGAGTGATAAATTCTATGTTTTCAGTAATTTATGTGTCTGGAAGACCTAATATAATAGGGAAGTTACATACAATTTTATATCTCTTAAGTATTCGAGATTCGATTCGAAAAAAATATTTGATTCGATTCTGAAATCATCAGGTATTCGAAAATCCTAGCCCTACCCGTAGGGTAGTCAGAGGTGCGGTGGCGAGCGTATTCCCAACGCTTAACACGATGTGCCGTATCGTCGAGCAGAGGTTCTCATATCAATCGCGATTGTAAGGTTGCGAATATGACGTTTGTAGTGAAATCGAATTTTGCCCGGGGTTAGTGATAAGGCCTTCCGAGAAATTGATCGTTCGCCTTATAAGCGGACGCGCCTAATGTATGAATCAAGCTTTATTGCCTACATTCAAAACTAGTACCGTTTGCGTCTTACGTATGGATGAAACCGGGTCTCCAAGCATCCAAGCCGGACCACGAAGCATCTTTTACGGCCCGCGTGGTAGACATTTTTCCAGAAAAAACTAAAAAAAAATAAACTAAAACAAGTTTCGGTCAGATCATGGAAGTGTGCAGTTGTGAATCATTAGTTGATTATGAATCATAATATGTGCAAGTTAACGCAATACTAGATTGATATAAACTTATGGATCATTACACAGAGAAAAATACCATGTTTATACTGAAACAGTTCGTCACCAAAAGATATCGTAAATAAAATTTTCACTGATGAAACAGAGAAATAGGTGCTCCAGAAGTATGCGCACCAAGATGTCGCACAACCTGAATCCTAATTGGTACACAAATACTGTGTTCAAGTTGTGCGCCATCCTGGTGCGCATACTTCTGGAGGTCCGAAATTTTTTTCATACATAAACAAAACTTGTGAAGATTCGACGGAAGCAAGTTTTGCCATAAGTGAGATGATTGCGAAATCGTCGCGTCCTTCCGTTGAGGGAAGCTTTATTAAAAAGTGTATGTTGAAGGCTTGTGAAATGATTTTGTAGCAATGAGAGTTAACAAATCAGCCTTTCGCACACGACTAACGGACGAGAGTGTCTAAAGACCAGCAAACCAACGCAAAATAAGGCTAATTCACCCCTACAGAACGGTGCCGAATATCCAACGAAATATGTTTCATGACTCGCTTGGTGTAAGATTCAAGGGTAATTTCAACAAATATATTCTGATTTACTTTCGTTAATTTTTGTATAACAATTTTGTATATAATTAGTTAGTTTGCGGCCCGAGTCGTCAATAAATTTCAAAAAGCGACCTTCGACATATTTTGAGTTGGAGACCCCTGATCTAAGCAATTTATTGTCAGTGAGCCTTATGGTCCGTAAAATACAGAAAGTCAAATGAGCATTATAGACAGACATATAAAGAGAGCTTGCAGTAAGTGAAACAGGGAGGTGGAGTCGAAATTATTCTTAAACCTGCAATCAAAATGTTTCCAGTCCTGAGTCGTTTTTTTTTAATCTAAGCCCCAAGCCCTGCTTGACGCTACGCCAGTTCCAGCAACAACACAAAGGAATTGTTTTATATTATATGAATCAGCAAACGAGATAACTGCATTAAAGATTGGAAGAACACAATGTAAAAGTAATAGTACCACAATAGGTAGATTAGAACAGAAATACATAAAACGGGTGGTCCTGGCCAGTGGACGAAGAATGTAAGGAGTTTCCTGCGGTGCCTTGCTAACGTGAATGGGGGGCGATTGTAGGTACATAGATTGTCCAAGAAATGTCTTTGGAACAATTCAAAATGGCTAACTTGTCTAATCTGCAAGAAATTGTCAACGAGCATTGCGTAAGATTCGCCAACATCACCATTATGGGGAGTGTTTCGCTTGACGGATAAATTGGTTACCTGGTATCTACTTCATATCCTCGTATATAAGTTTGAAACTAAAAAAAAACTGACTGGTTTTTGAGACACTTTTTAACCATTATTAATAATAGCAAAACATAACAATATTGGTTATCATTTTCATTAATTCTCTTCTGCAACCATTCGCTGTGATAGGTGTAGACGGCGTGTTTCGAATTGTAGGGTCGTCTTATATGCAAATTTTCTATAAATTCACCGTTTTTTTCGGGGGGATGGTCGGCTAATATGTGAGGATAGAAATCTTCCATATTACTGACTTTAGTGGCAGAAAATCAGCATTAGAGAAAAATAGTTAGATAATAATGTGAATTCTCAACCTTAATTGAATTTCCCTTAAACGATTTTTTGGAATCTCGGAATACAAACAAATTAACAAAGTGTTTGAAAAATTCTTCATGTAGGTTGATTTAGCCAACATTTTAAGACTGAAAAAGATTTAAAAAACAACATTTTCCCATAAAATATATAAGATTCGTTGGCCCACCAAGGCTATAGGAAATATTCTTGAAAAAAAAACATTTCACCCCTAATTTATGTAAAAAATTTATGAGAAAAAAGAAAAATAGAATTTGATAAAAGGATTTCCAAACTCGTTATAAAATCAACACATAAAATATTAAAACTCGACATCATTATTAATAAAAACAGAAAATAAATTTCATTATTTTTTATAACCAGTGTAGTTTGTGTGAAAAATTGGCCACCGCCAAGCAAGGCCCCACTCCGGCATTGTCTACCAAGTATTCTCAAGAGACAATTAAAGATTTTTGCACCCTTTCCAATGATTTGAATACTATACTGATCCATATGGGCTGAATATTACCAAGCCTCTTATTAATCGAACCAAGGTCTGTTCTGTGTCACTGTCCCAATTTTTGATTCGTAGATATCAGTGGTTTCAAACGGTGAATCGTACCCCGCCCCACAAGAGGGGACCCTAGACCAGGGGTTCCCAAACCAGGGGTCGCGACCCCAAATTGGGTCGGAGTGATAAGTAGGTAGGGTCGCAAACAGGTCATGGGGTCGCTGAGGTAAGGTAGAGGATGAATGTACAAATCATCTAAGATTTGACAAACCAAAATTTAGCGGTTTGTACCATGGCTCACTGTAAAACAGGCGCTCTATGCTTATGCTATAAAAAATGTAGGTGCTTTTTGTGACATCACTGTTTGGTTTTAGCTTATTTCAGTTAATACCACCACATGACCAAACTCAAAAGTCCAGTGAAGGAAGCTCTCGAAGTTTCATAAAAAATATATATATTGACTTGGGGTCGCACTGGACACTTGAAAGTTGTCTTTGGGGTCGTTCTAAAAAAAGCTTGGGAACCCCTGCCCTAGACAATTCTTTGAAGGTGCGTTAAGCGAATTAAAAATATTTGCTAGATTTGATCTTGCCCGCTTTATTTTGAATATTAACATTTGTTTTAGATATTTACGTTCAATCCACATATTTTCAAAGTTTTCTGAATAAAACATATTGTCGCCTTATTACCTGTTATTTATAGCTAGTTATTTTTTAGGTGGGACATAGGACTTGACAAATTCTAAAAAAGGGGGTGCGGCTTGAAAAGTTTGAGAAATACTGATCTAATAGTTTCAATCAAAAAAATGTCCCTTTCCCATATACTGTTTATGACAAGTAGGGCTGGGCATTTTCGAATACCTTGTGATTTCAGAATCGAATCGAATCTCGAATACTTGAAAATATATAATTTTAAGCGACTTTATTATAGTAATTGGTCCTTTCAACAAATGAATTACTGAAGACATAGAATAAATCACCCAGATAGATTACTGAGCATTCACACAAAATAACACACACGTTTTATCAATAACTCACTACAGAAAATAGTCATATGTTAAAATTTCGTTGAATAAATATGACTCCGATGAAAAAAAAAATTGGGGAATTCACCTCGACCATTAGCGGAAAGGTAAAAACAAGATGGCGGTGATTCGAAATTTAGCTCTGAACCGATTCGAATAATTTACTATTCGATTCGAAATGCCCAGCCCTAATGATAAGCCTATGTAAGTCTATTGTGAACCGGAAGAGTAGTGAAAAGACCCAAAAAAGATTTTTTAATCTTGAAAATGAAGCTGTTAGAGCCAGTACTTCTGAAAAACAGATTATAGTTTAAATGCAGGGACACCTCTGTAGCCGAACATAAATCGTTCCGAATTGGTGTTCGACTATCAGAACTTGTTCAGCATAAGAAACAATTGTTATTATTCTAATTCGTGTATTCCAAAATGAAAGATGACAAGCATACGCCAAATTTTTGTTTTTGTTTTGAGTGCTGTAGTAAAAATTTGTCAACAAAGAGCTGGAGTCGTTTTTTGAATGGCTCGGAAAATGGATCTAGTGTAGATTTTCCCTGATTTGACGCGCAAATATATTTTTAATTAGCCTTTAGTCTTTGGTATCGTAAAAAAAAAAATAATTGGAATGCAATAGTTACTGATTTCAATGGATCCGCACAATGAACAGGAACTAATGAAGCATAACTGGTCGGAATATTTTAATCTTAAAAGAGTACCTACATTGCTGTATGGCAGGGGTCGGCAACCTTTTGTCGCTGGCGGGCTAAAATAAGGGTTGCAAGTCATTTGCGGGCCGCACATTTTTTAGAAAGTTGAAAACCGAACGGATGATACTTTTTATAATAAAAATTAAGCAGTGACATTGCATTGCATCTCGAAAAAATCCTTTCGAAGACTTTCGGCACCATTGAACGCTTTGCAATTAGCATCAACTTTTTGCGTTTTGTTGCCATTTGTCAAATTATAATTAAATCATAGGCTAATTAAACAAGTAATTGTGAATTTTATCTATGTTAGATTATAATAAAATTTAGTCTACACGCGTCAATTCTGTTACGTAAAGAATATATAATCGTCAAAACAGCTGTTCTGTAACTATAATTCAGTGAAGCGTTGTGGGGCGGATTGTATTACCGCGGTAGGTTGCCGACTCCTGCTGTAAGGTCACACTCGTATTGAAATAATGTAAAATTGAGGCTTGATGCCAAGCAATGGTGCATAAATAGTGTGGATAATTTCATTCCTGAAGGGTATTCATGCTAGTAGGTTACACTTCAAGTTTATTGTGAATTCGCCCGATGAAATCACCAATAAAGCATCACTGGACATAATTAAATTCATTTTAATAGTGTAATGCTGCAACTGCATGCTTCGTTGTGAATTCTGACATTTCTGAGGAGTAAAGATTACTGAAGCATTAATTGTCAAAATAATTTAATTCTAATCAAGAGTGGCAATGCTGCAATGTCACACTTCAATGATTATAAGTCAGATTCATGATGAAGTGGAATGACATAGATAACAACAACCCACTGATGAGTACAAAGACCTCCAGGAATTGTTTATTCTGCTGCAAAGTCAGAAATCTATCAGTTCAAAACTCAATGAAGTGCGATCTTACAGAATAATTTCAACTAAAAGGGAATGTGCCAATACCGCAACGTCACGCATCGTCCGCATTTTTATCTGTTTCACACCCTTGGTTCAGCTCCACCACTTTCGGTTCGGAATTTTGTTCCACTTGATTAACCAGGATTCTGTCACCTTTTATTCATCCAAGCTACCCTACTTTTTACATTAGAATTGTTTGTGTTATGCCGGTTCCACTCTTTATAAAAACTATCAAATTTGATGTACGACACGACCCGGCCGTCAGTGTCTAATTCCATACTTTCACTTTGGTCAGGCCTGTAGAAAAAATAGCAATTTCAGGATATATTTATCATCTTTATCACGAAGAAAAAGCCAGATAAGACAGGCTAGGTTACCAGTCTAACTTGTGGAATAATATGATAGGATGTTCATATTTACCCAGGGAGAAAAAAGCCGATAAGACGGCTTAATCATATGGCAAACCACAGCCTTTCGTCTTCCGTCAGTCCATGTCTTCTATGGGATTAGTTAGCATGTTATCAGTTTTCAGATGCATGAATTTGATGGTAGAGAAAGCCGTAACTGACCAGCAGTTAAGTGAACTACGTAACGTTACATACGAATGTAGCGGTTCCCAATATGTAGTCAATGTAGAACCAGGAAGGCTACAGTACTTTCAAAAATATTAGCTCTATGCGAACCGTCTCTATTTGGTGCTCCCGTAGTATGTGCAACAAGATGGCGGACACCGGAACATAGTATGTGTACCAGGTTCGAGTTAAGCCATAATTTTATTCCAATTTTTCTTATTTTGGTTTTATTACGAGTTCGCGGACTAGCTAAGTGACTCCCGTAGTATTTGTACCTGAAATTATGGTCTAACCCTAACCTAGTACACATATGTTCCGGTGTCCGCCATCTTATTGCTCATACTACGGTACCTTCTATTTACTCACCTAAAAAAATCTTCTTCATTGAAGTCATCAGCCCTGTCATCTTCTGCGAGTAATAAACTATGGGTTCGACTCGATGTCCGAGGTCCTGTGAAAAAATTATAGTTCATGTTATACCAAGCAGTTGTCCACAAGGGCCCGTTGCCCACCAAATGGGCCATATATATACAGGGTGGCCCAAAAGTAGGTAAACAGTTATTAAACTATTTTATATGCTTTGAAGCTACTTGCAGTTCACTTTTCGTTACTTGTTAAGTACCACAAAAATTGCTTATTTTTTAGATAATAAATCTATTGTGAATTTTACATTAGTTTTCTATCTGCTTGGAAGGTAATGAAAAATAAATAAAATACCACCCTGTGTATGCAATGTATATATGCAAGCTAACCTAATACAGGGATGGGCAATTACCAGTTATGGATAATAGACTTGGTTACTGGGCTCCAACAGCTCGGCTAACGATTAAATTACAATAAGATGCACAATGTAACAATCGGGGTCATTACGATGTTATTTATCAAGATATATTTTTGCTTTTGTCGCTGCATTAAATCTTTCGCCGTTCTGCCCAGTGCCTTTATTACTCTTGGGCTAAAAAATAGCCTTCAAAATTGTAAATTCCAAGTTAGACATCAACAGCTAGCAGGCACGGCTGGGACAACGCGAGTTTCTAAGAGTCTTGGAGGTTTATTAAAAAGCCTTTCAAGATACATAAAATCCCTATGTATGATAAAGAATAATGCTTTTTTACATTTCAAAAGGGGGGAGAGGGGCTTCCCCTGGGAACACCCTTAGTGAGCATCCCTGAATCATGTCCACAAATTTATGAATAAAATTTTTCCGTACTACAAACCTGATAAAGCTTCTGTCGTTCCGGTATCGATCCCAGATGTTGACCCACCAATCAGATTAGTGGGCGTGTCATCAGACGGGGTACTTGATGAATAGGACCCCATTCCTTTGTGAGGAGTTGAATAAATTCCTGCGCTTGGCATAACTAGTTTGATGTTTGGCCGCTCACACGTCGGAATCCCAGCGTAGGAATAAGGTACTGAAACTGTGATCGGAAAATCTATAAAAAATTTAATCTAGCCATGACTGAAAGATTAGAAATATGCTATGTTAAGTTTCCATGTTTGATACAGAAAAATGCTTTTTTGACATTTCAAAAGGGGGAGGAAGTTTGATCCAGTTACAGGGTACCAAACTCTGGATATTACCCAATTATGGGTGCTCTTGAAGTATGTGAACCGAGCTGACAGATACCGGAACGTAGTATGTGTACCAGGTTAGGATTAGGCCAAAATTTCAGGTACAAATACTACAGGAGTCACTTGGCTAGTCAGCGAACTAAAATAAGGAAAATTGGAATAAAACTATGGCCTGATCCTAACCTGGTGCAGACATACTACGCTCCGGTGTCCGCCATCTTGGTTCAAATACTACGTGAGCACCCAATTATGTTAGGGTAAAGAACACAAGTTCAGATGACAGGCTTAATCATATGGAGAACCACGGCCTCTCGCCCATTTACCATTACAGGTCGGGTATGGGATTAGTTGGTTTTTTGTTTTCGCAAGCTTGGACTTGATGGTCGAGAGAGCCATAACCGACCAGTGGTTACGTGAACCAACCTATAACGGCGAGGAGTCAAGCAATCCTCTCGCACATAACCATATCCGCATGGGATTCAAACCCGCGAACAGGGTAATCAGAGGTGCGGTGGCCAGTGAACTCTCAACGCCCAGCACGATGAGCCAAACCGCCGCACCTTTCGAGTGCAAGGGCAATAAAAAAAAAGAAATACACAATAATCCGCAGACCCACCATTGAATGTTTCACTATTATGTGTGACAACAGGGTGAGTTGTAGTACCGACAGGATGAGTAAAGTTTCGTACAATCAATGTCATGTCTCCTCTACACATCATAGGTTGTTTTCCATAAGAGTACTTGTGCATGTACGCAATCTTTTCAACGACTTGCTCTGCCACACCTGTGTGAGAAATGATTGCATTGTTGGGGAGGTGTTCTGATAAATATAATTGTTGTAATTAATTAGGTAACCATCTATAAGCGGGCGATGGTGACTGCTATTCTCTCTTATTGAGTGGTATAGTCTTGTGAATAATGTCCCTATAGTTAGATAGTTATGGCCTAACTCGAACCTGGTACATATACTATGTTCCGGTGTCCGCCATCTTGGTTCACATACTACGGGAGTAGGCTACCTTATAATTTATATAACAAGAAAGCATTTCTCGAATATTTGTACACGAGTTTAGCAATGATACCGGCACAGACAGTAGTCAGAGTTTGCAACCTGCTATGCCACACCTATGTAGATAATAATTAATTGCATTGTTGACAAGGATGTCCAAAACTAATATTTGAACTCAATCGAGTATAATAGATATAGGAACGTAATGCTCAAATTCCAAAAGGTTATCCTGCCGAGTCTGTGTTCGAATAGTGGATTGGACGGCCAATGTAAGTGTGACGTAAAATGTTATATTATGTGAACAATATTTACAGTGTTACAAAAGAGAAAGTGAAAAACAATAAGCCTCGTGTCAAAAGTTAATCGCAATCTCAACAAATTATTTGCGCTAGTCTTAGACTAAAACATCAAAAGTTGGTTTTATTGTGGTTGTGGCAGCGTCAGGCAGGCCAGATTAAATTACCCACCGGGCCGGTTTTGGCCCGCGGGTCGTAGTTTGCTCATGTCAGGTTTATACCGTTCAAGTGGGTACACCAATTTAGAAAACAGTAATGTTAATTATCGGTGCTCCCGAAGTATGCGAACCAAGATGGCGGACATCGGAAGGTAACATGGGTAACAGGTTAGGGTTAGGCGATAATTTTTTTCCAATTTTCCTTATTTTAGTCCTATTATCAGTTCGAAGACTAGCCAAGAGCCTCCCGTAGTATTTATACCTAAAATTATGGCCTAACCCTAACCTACTACACATATTACATTCCGATGTCCGCCATCTTGGTTCGCATACTTCGGGAGCCCCTAATTATCTGATTCATAAAATAAATATTTCAATTTTTTTTCAATTGTTAAATTTTTAAATTATCGTATAGTGCAGCAGGGTGAGCTTTTTTGATTAAAAGGCAAATATACGTGTAGAACAATCACCATACCTTCAATAGACTGACGTTTCAATATTTCTGTTGAAGTAAGTTGTGCAATGTAGTCATTGGGGTCGACGTTCTTCGCACATTTCTGAACAGATTTGTATAAATCGTCTGACATGAGGATTAGAAAAGAACCTGAAAAAAGGAGTTTAGGATTTTGGTATTACGATATTTAACATATTTCTCCCTGCATAATACACACCGACAGATGAGCGCATGCACTTTTGTACACTTGAGGCGAGCGCCGAGCAATTTTCAATCTCCGTGCATAATATGCATATTGGGTTTTCAATCCTCTCTTGCGTTGTAGGTGTTTATTTGTGGAAGCGTTTCCGGCATTCTGTTAATATTTTTTCTGATGTTTCCTATGTCAATGCATAATATGCTTCCCTTGTTCTAAACTTGGAATCTGGCCTTAAAAGTGCGTATTATACGCGAAGAAATATGGTATTTCAGGAGCTGAAAGTCAATAAGACACAGTACAAATGATTTATACCAGTAGTTCACAAACTTTTTAGGCATTTTTAGAATTGGTCAAGTCTCGCGCCCCACCTCAAAAATAAATGACTAACAATAACAGATAGTGGGGCAAAAGTATGTTTTTTCAAGAAACATGTTGGAAATACATGGATGGAACGTAAATGATGAAATGTTTTGAAATGTAAATATCCAAAATAAAGCGGGCAAGATCAAACCTAGAATTACTGCTTATACGCAGGGATTCCACCAATCTGGAACCCAAAATAAGGACTGAAAAATTTCTGCATTGTGAGCAGAAATAGCTGGCTTTTCTATGCCCTCCAGGTTAATGTCACAATTACAAACGTCACAGTGTGCGAAGCACTTACACTTCAAGTTTCGTTTAATTTTGAATTCTTTCCGGTACTCACGAAAAACTTACATTCGCTCATTTTTAAATTTAGGCTAAAATAACCACCACCACGACAAAACCTAACGATCGCCACACTAACAATTCTCCCTGCCTATCTGTGCATTGCTTCTTTGTGTTCCAAATAAGATTGTGTTGCTTTTATGATGCCACAATGAAGCTTTGGCAATAAAACAAACAACACAAAGTCCGAATAAGACAAATAAGGACGCAAGCTAAAATAAGTAAAAATTAAGAACAAATCTAAGAAAAAAGGATGGTATGGAATCCCTGCTTATACGTCATACGAAGTCCTGTTTAAAGTGGAAATGCCCAAGCCTCCCATAAAAAATTCAGGAAACCAACCTGGATATTCATCTATTATAATTCCTTCTGTAATTGAGGGTTCGGAAATAGAAGGTTCACTTGTGGCATCTCGTAGATATTCAATCTCTTTGTATCCGCCTTTTACAGAATAATCACCGATACAACGAGTACATTCATTTACACCTGTAAAACAATTCCGCTGTTAATATCGCTAATAAATAGGTTTGGATTTAATATTAATCTCGGAGTAAAGTGGAAAGCGGGGGATATGATATTCTATTAATATGGCAAAACACGGCTTCTCGTCCGGTCACCAGTCCATGTCGTGTAAGAGATAATTAGCCAATTATTTGTTTTCAGATGCATGGGCTTGATGGTGGAGGAAGCAATCACCGACCAGCGGTTTCGTGAACCACTCTAAGAGGAGTTCTGCACTTAATCCTCTTGCACTTAATTATTCCCCTACAGAAATCGAATCTGCGAATCCCTGAAATATAATCAGACCTGCGGCAAGCACAATGCGCGATGCGGCACACTACCGAACAAAATATAACTTTAAGATTTAATTTACTTCCGTTAGGAAGTTGAATAAACCTTCAACAATAAAAGTGAGCTAATTTTATTGAAAATACCATTGGCAACTGGCATACAGCCTTATCTTAAAGAGGCTTGGAAGAATTCAAGTTACCACTAACATGGAAAAATCTAGAGTGGGCAACATACGGACCGCGGCCCACGACGAGATTTCGACCGGCCCGCTGACTGTACATCAGTACATTATAATATTACATTAATACACTTTAATACATTTTGATAAACTCATTAGCCTATGTGTTTTTTGGTCTCTATTTTGGTCTCTAGTGTAAACTTTACTTTAAACGCGATTTATAACTTCCTTTCTTGCATTAGCGAATAGATATGCGATTAAGATATTGAATACTATTCATGTTATAATCCGGCCCACCGAAGACTCCATTTTCCCACATCCGGCCAGCCGACTAGAGAAGTTGCCCACCCCTGATCTAGAGGGAACTGAACTCCCAATCCTGGGCTGCTTTATTGGAGAAACATAACTAAAAAACTATGGAAACCCAGTAACTTACACTGAATTGTTATTGCAGTCAGAGATGTCAATGGATAGCGCTTGATAAGAGATTAGGCCTTGCCAATTAGAGGAATACAATTAAAAATTAACAAATGAGACCAAACTTCATAACCGAACATTTAAAAATTACTCCATTAGATGAATGCAATAGTGACGGTTTAAAGGATTGAAGTTAAGTTAGAATTCCAACTGAAAATAGAAAAGGATTGCATGCGCGAATGTTCATGTTATCAAAATTCTTTTCAGAGCCGAAGACCAAAGTCAAAATTTACCTCAACCTGAAGTTTTGTTACACTCAATAGTCTATGGCACAAAAATAATTAGGCGCTCCTGTAGTATGTGAACCAAGATGTCAGACACATAAACATAGTATGTGTACCAGGTTAGAGTTAGGCCATAATTTCATTCTAATTTTTACTTATTTTAGTTCTATTACGAGTTTGGGGACTAGCCAAGTGTCTCCCGAAGTATTTGTACCTGAAATTATGGTCTAACCCTAACCTAATACACGCACTACGTTCCGGTGTCCGCCATCTTGTTGCACATACTACAGGAGTACCAATAATTAGGTCGATGCCCTGATGATTACCAAACAAAAATCAACAAAACCTTGATACTCACCTAATTTCCCTCTATTTTGCAGTTTCTCCACATTCAATCCCAACATTTTTAACCTTGCCTGTTCTTGCGCTTGATACAGGTTATGATCAACACTTATTTGTTGAACCTGCAAAAAATGTGTAATTCAGTTTAAGCAAAAGAAGTAGATTGAGATTTTCAAAATGAATACTTGAATACGTTCAAAGTGGTTGCATTCAAAATATTAAATTCATTTGAAAATTCATCTTTGATGAGCACCTGAAATCCGACGACTAGACATAAAAAAGAGAGTACATCGAAGCGATGGAAAACTTAATACCTATTCTCTCTAAAGATCTTCATTTATTAATGAGCACCCTAAACAGCACTTGTCCAGTGTCTTATAACAAAATATCAAAGTAAAAATCAGTACGCACCTCTACATGATTAGTCTTTGAGTTAAGTTGGCAAAGTAAAGCTCGACATTCCCCGACGTTTGCGACAAATAATTTGTTATTTATAATAAGGGCGACCACTGCTGTCGTTCCACCTGAAAAATAATGATAAATGCGTAAGTCAACGATTCCCTGTACTTTTTTGAGTTTGAGATATATCTACTTTCTGTAATACAATCAAATTTTGATTTTGATAACACTAAATCTCACAAAAAAAAGTTAAATTAATGCGACGGAAGTGATTAATTTCGAGTGAATGATCGTAAAGTGAAATGATAAATAGATGACTTGTTATACATCAACTATTAAGGATACTTTCTGTAGGTATGTTACAAAAAAATTAAAGTTCATCCGATTTAAATAAAAACTGCACCAGTGGATAGATCTAAGTGAAAATAAGAAAACAATACCAAGTTTGTGAAAAATGGTCAAGAATTAACGGAGATATCTGCATTTAAGTACCGCCCGATAGGCCAATTTTTTCCATAAGGATTGTATTGCGCCGACTCAAAAACTGTGACCGCGAGAATGTCAGACCGATAAACAACAGAATGTATCTCGGCTATTTTTGGAGGTAATCGAAAAAAATTTTGAACGAAAAGTTATTGTGAATAGAAGAACCTAATGCAAAAAAGTTTACAAATTCTTTTTAACGATATTAGCTGCTTTTCAATTAATTATGTACGAGAAAGTTTCTGAACTTTACATAACCTCTGGTCGGCAACGACTTTCCCAATACGCAAGTCCCCGCATACGCGGCAATTAACTGATTTAGCGTTTTTCATATCCGACCTTAATGAACGATTAATTATCATTTAATATTCCTTAACTCGTAGGAGATTTACCGCGCTTGGTGAAACGCAAAACGAGAGAAATCGCTGCGAGGGAAAATGTCGGCATTCAGTCGATAACTGATGCGCGTTGACAGACGCGTGCTAAGATCATACTTCTCGTGCCTTGAATTAATTTGTACCGTTTCGTAAACGTATGCGAATTGACTTTTTTCAATAAGAACTTTAATAAATATGAAAAAAAAACACATATCAATCTTTAATTTTTCGATGTGCGTCACATCTAAGAAAATTCAGATTACTTTAGGATTTTATTCTGGCAACGATCATTGAGGCCGTCGGAAGATCGTCGCAAATCAACCCTGAAGTTGAGCATATTAGTTTGACAGTGCCTCGTTGCGGGTAATAATTAACGATGTTCTGATTGAACAAACTTCATAAAAATTGGTAAGTATCAAGTTAGGAATGACATACATGCGTCCATATATATTTTATCGGTGTCCATAGACAATATCATTAATTTGCAGTACGTATAACTTTAGCGTAATTTTTGAAAGCCCCGAATGTTGGGAAATTTATGCGCTAATGAAAAAATTCAAATACCAAATCATAGTTGCGCATTTTATCTAAGTTATGTCCAAATTTAATGAAATTCCAAACAACAGCAGGCAGTCCGTAGTCGTTTTTATGAGCGGTATTCTGACACGGCGTTACGGTACTTAGCAGACGTGGTGCGTACATTTTTTGGCGCGAAAAAGCGCGTTTTGTAACATTCCTACTTTCTGTAATAGGAATGAAAATTTAAATTTAATAACATTAAATCGCGCAAGAAAAAGTTTAATAATATTAAGCGCATTCAATCAATCAATGGGATGTGAGAGGTTAATTTTGAGCACATAAATGATCGCAATGTGAAATGACATGTATGTATGTAAGTCAAAGATTCCTTATACTTTTTGAGACTGAGACACAACTACTTTCTGTAAAACAAATAGAAATTCAATCTCAATAATTTCGGAACACACAAGAAAAAGCTTACTGCGCATTTAATCAATGTAATGAGAGAGTTTGATGGGAAATATTGAAATATTAGTCTGACTCGATTCGAACAATTACCTATTCGATTCGAAATGCCCAGCATTAGAGCTGTGAATACTTGTACAAAGCCTTGCCACATAAGAGTATCGTATATAAAAAACTTCATACACACCTTTAATCTCATTATCAAGGTTTTTCATTCTTTTGAAAATATCTGGATATCTTTTAGCAGCGGCTTCGATTGGCATCCGATCGTCAATCTGAAATGGTACATAATTAGAAGCATTATTTATTTACTGAAAAAGCACACTGGACTGAATAAAAAATGGAAAACAAAACTGAGGAGACATAAAAAAAAAAACAATGAGAAAGACAATATCAGGAAGTGACACCCTAGATATTAATATCAGAAAATGGTGAAAACAAACTATTTATATATTAGAAAAACACGCACTCCTGTAGTGTGTGTTAGGGTTACAGTTGCGCCATAATTCTATTCAGATTTTCCTTGTCTTAGTTCTATTACAAGTTCGGGGACTGTCTGTGTGAATATACCCCCTGCCCATAAGTTTCAGTCCCTTTATAACTTGATGTAAAGTAGGCGAACAAAATTAGTTACTGATATGCGCTAATAATTTTATATGTATTTATAAAGCAATTTTTCCGAATCAACACTAATTTGTTAAATCTTATATAATAAATATTATTATATAATATTGACCAATATGGTTGAACCAAACCTGAGATTGTAAATAGGTCTTTTTGGCAAGAGCATCGTCTATAGACTCAAAGAAGCCTCTTTCTACAATACTAAATGCTTGATATAAAACTTTTCGTATTGATGAATCTGGTGGATTATAGTTTGGGTTTATTTGTCCGAGTAATAATTCCGCTGGAAGTCGAGATGCAGCAAACTGTGAGGCTTTTACTCCGTCGTGTCCGTCAAATAATCCATAGAGGTAGCAGTTGTGATCGGACCTAAAAATGAATTTATATTTAGGATGGAACTTTTATGTTTTTGGAGAGAAAAAAGTTGCTGGACTTCTCGCCGTAATAAGGTGGTTCACTAACCGCTGGTCAATTACGGCTTCCTGCTTGTCATGTGTTACAAAATAAAAATTGGTCAAAACTTTCAATGGCATCCATTCCTAGACGAAAAATAACTGGCTATCTAATCCCGTACCCGACATGACTGGTAACTGAACGAGAAGCCGGTGGTTCGCAATACGATTGAGCCATCTACTTGGCTTTCACCGGGATAAATATGTAAATCCTATCCTATCATCATAAAAAGTATTTAAATATTCATTTTAGAGATCACAAGGCCCACAATACATATGAGAGTTATTTTATTAAAGTTAGGAAAAACCATAACAAATTTCGTATGTGTCTGAATAGTCATAAATATCTTTATTCACAGAGCTTATGAATACATAGAGATTCAGCATATGAATGCATGAACAACATTTTAATATTTTGTAAAGGTCCATAATCCACAGGATATTCAGTCATTTTACCATTATAATGAGTCTGATTTACGTCACCCACAATCCGCAATAATAACGGCAGTGTGAGCGAGAGTTTATATATCATAATGATATAAAATGACAAACCACATAGACAATGCATAATTCTGACCATTATTATAAGTTCACAATCTATGCTATTGTTTAACAATAATTTCTATTGTGCGACAGTTTGTGATGTTATAATCGACACGCCTGTGTGGCTAAGGAGAAAGAGGCTTTTACTACGCATGCCGTTTTGATAGACACTGGTCTATTGTGTATAAAATTACAAACAGATCATTAAATTTCTACAACCAGAGATGATTGTAACATAATACATGGATAATCTTACACAACATCCTTGGCCAAATTTAATTATTGAGCCAATTATTTACAGTTGTATGTAAATCAGTTCTCTTTGACGTCAAAATCACCCCTGGTATATAAATAAATCAATTTATAGCAACATGGACTCAATTGTTTGAACTAACTTCATTAAGCCTGTCTGAAAGACACCTATTTTATTATTTTAGACCACAAAAATAGCCAAAACTGAATGTCAAACATTCTAAAATAATATTTCAAACAAGAAATATTTACTAAATTGGTTCAAGTTTAACAAGTCAAATATATGGACTAGCTTTAAAAAGCCTTCTGTTATATTCACATTGGTATTTATTACTGACTTGTATTTGTTGTTTTCGACCGGACCATGGCTAAAAATAAATCGACTATTTCGAATATAAAATAATATTCATGAATATGAAATTTCAAGTATATTATACAATACATTTAGCTGTATTTCACTAGGAACACATGATAATTGCAGAGGCCTTTTTCATCAAGTTTCAGAAGTTTTTTGCCATTTTAGGCCACAGATAACCAAAATGAATGATCAACTATTCCAAATATATGTTCTAAAATATTGTTTTTAAATAAGAAATATTTTACTAAATTGGTTCATGTTCAACAAGTCAATAATAAATACATTTGAATTAGCTTTATTAAGCATTGAGTGATAATAACAGGAGTCTTTAATAATAAGTACGGTACTATTTTGGGGGCTCCCGAAGTATGCGAACCAAGATGGCGGACATCGGAATGTAATATGTGTACTAGGTTAGGGTTAGGCCATAATTTTAGGTATAAATACTACGGGAGGCTCTTGGCTAGTCTTTGAACTGATAATAGGACTAAAATAAGGAAAATTGGAAAAAATTTATCGCCTAACCCTGATCTGTTACCCATGTTACGTTCCGATGTCCGCCATCTTGGTTCGCATACTTCGGGAGCGCCCTATTTTGTTATTTCAGACCAGAGAAGACCATGGCTGAATATTATTCAACTATTCCGATTATGTTCTGAAAATAATGTTTTCAAAGTAGGAATATTTACCAAATTGGTTCATGTTCAGCAAAGCAATATATTTGAGCAAGCTTTATTAAGTGTTGTCTTATAATCAAGGTGACTTTTATCAACAAGTTTTTGCTATTTTAGATCACAGTTGACGAAAACTAAATCGTTTGCTATCTCAATGTTTTAACTATAAATTAGTTAGAACTAGAAATATTTACTAATTCGATTCATATTCAACAAGTCGATACATTTGAACTACGGTAGCTTTTTTGAGCCTTGTCTGATAAACATAGTGGTCATTGTTAATATAGTTTTTTTTTTATTTTAGACCACAAATGGCAAAACCAAATTGCAATTGTTGTTGCAAATTTGAAGCAGGAGATGCCCAGCTAAAGGGATCAACTTTATTATTCAAATATCTGAATATTAGATACGCTTTAGAAAATACCGATTTTCAAAATACAAAAATGAGTGAGAGCTCAACAGGTAAAAAGCAAATGATATACCGGTAATTAAGCTAACATTTTGAACGTATATTCAGGCATAATTCAACAGAACAATGAACAAAAAAGGGTCACATTTACAATATACCATACACATACGACTGCGTAAAATTCTCAAATGTCTTATTTTGGATAAATCTCTCAAATAAGAATAGTTCCAATCAGCTATATATACCAGTTTTAAATTTTTTTATTTCTATTTATCGGCGTGATGAAATTTGTCTGTGTAGTAATGTAGTGTGTAGTTGAAACACCACTACACCAGCAACATAATATTGTTTGCTTTTTTGTAAATGTGTTCCTATTCCCGAAACTTTATTGGACACAAAGTGTAGGATACATATGGATTGTCTTGTTATTATGTTGTTGTTTTTGTTGTTATTTTTCTTCTTGTTGGTAGGAAAATACAAATGCTTTGAAATTTTGAATATTGTTTCTATTTTAAATGCTGAGGTTATGAATCAATAAATTCATTTTACCTTTCTATGTCGTTTTCTTTCTGTTATGTAGGGCCTGTCAACAATAGAGGTAGACACTGCTCAATACAGCCCATTAAAAGAGTTTAGCGAACATGAGTGATTTCTTAGCATTTCAAAAGAAAATCAGACAGAGATGAGGAAGAAGAGTTGACTTTCAGCCTTTATTCTTCAGGCCTACCATGTTTACAAACTTTAAAAGCATAAAGTACTCATTAACGAATACAAAATTGAGTTTGGTGTTTGACGGTAGCAATTTTTTTTAGTGTCAAGCGCGCTGTGAATTTTTTCCCGATAAATTGACGTCGGACAAACAAAAAGTTCGGGAACCGCTGGGGTAGAATGCCGAGATGAAATAATTAGGGTCATTTCATACATAGTGGTCCTTATTATGCAAGCTATTATGTGTCCAGTGCGAAAAGCCTCGAAAATAGGCTTATGATGATTCAATAAATGACATTACTACAAATTGTTATAAAATTTGCTGCTTCCATCCTGAAGCATGGTTGAAATAAAATTTACAAAAAAATCAACTAATATTGAATTGTAATATTAATTCCATCAAATCCATGCATTCAATTCAAGTCTTTGCATCTGAAACAAATAACTAGCTAACTAATCTCAAACTGGACAAGAGGCCGTGGTTCACCATGTGATTAGGCCATCTCATCGGCTTTCTCAACCCCCCCTCGGATAAATATGTAAATCTTCTTGCAAATCTCAAACTCCAAAATAATATGTGAACAGGAATATTGAATTCCAAACTATCTAGATATGAACCTTGCAGGTAATTTTGACACAGTTGAGCGATCCCTCAAATGTTAGGGTTATCTTAACTTTAATCTGTAAATTCAACACAATGTAAAAAATCTCTGGAATGTTAAATATGTGGCTGACTTTAATAACAAGAAATGCGACCTCAATTATCTCTGGCCATACAGAAATCATACCTATACCCCAACATTGTAAATCATTATATCAGACAAAGAAAAACTTTCGTTTTGATGGAGTTCAATAAACTTTACTCAGTGGACTAAAAAGACCAATAGAACTCTTCGGTATAAGTTGAATAATGATTATCCACAATATGCCAGAATATCTTGAAATCGGTAGCCTATGTGAAAAGTCTTAACTTTCCTCAATGCAGATTGAACATGTGCAGCTTTTTCTGTGCCATCACAAAAGAAGCACTCTCACACAAACATGTAAAAAGTAATAATCAACAAGTAATAGCACAAGCACAATTATTGCCAATGTGGAATGGCAATCTGACCAAAACATACACAGCATTGATCATCATATCAAACAAAGAAGAATTCTGAAGAACTAGAAATGTACAGATGCCACTTTTGTCGTCGTTACCGATCCGAATATATCAGAAATATCGGCCGACATTTAGCCGATACAGATACGAAAAAATGGCTGATATTACCAATACACTTCTACTGAACTAGTTAACCAACTTCCCAATTTAACATTCCATATTCAATATTTACCCACTCATATAAACTCTCTTGAATGTTTCAAACAATTATGGAATTTACTAGGACATATCAGACAATGCTCAACTAAACTAGATAACTTAAAATCTGTTTAATTTATTATTTCATATAGAATGTTTACCTTTTCAAATAAATTCTCCAAATTTTTTTCAAAGAGTATGAAGTTACTAGGCCATGTTCGGCATGTAACATTCCTAAATCTGGTAGCCTATGTACTCAAAAAATTGAAACCATAAGATTAAGTGAATCAATTATTCTGTACCTTGAATTCACTAAACCTTGAAAGCATTCGAAATATTCAATACCTGATACTATGAATAATAAAAAAGATATTTGATCCTACAACAGTGTTAGGCCTGTCAGTTTATAATTCTTGCAGTACATAGACTTGTCACAAGGGGGTAGATTGTCAAACTGAACACAATTTTTTATTCAATAATATGCCTCAATACTATATTATATTACATAAATATAGGGTGTCCATAAATTTCTAAAATTACAAAGTGAATTTGCCAATACCATGTTTTGTTTTGACCCTCACAGATGTATTAAATGAAGTAAAAATACTTGAACAATTAAAAAACAACAAACCTGGTCAAGACATATTGAGAATAACAAAACTGAAATTGTAAA